ACACACACACACACACACACACACACACACACACACACACACACACACACACACACACACACACAGGGAACAGCGCCTGGGGTCGTTACACTGGTAATAAATGTTCATTTCCACCAGAGGGCGCAGCAGTTATATTTTTACTGAGTCCATCCCTGGGGATCTGGATGCAAGATAGTGAGTGGTACAGTAAATCTTTTTTAAAGTGTTTTCTGATTAAAGCTACTAAAATCACTTCTTTTTATTGATGAATTGACATTTATCTGGATTTCTGCTGAAATATATTTGTTGTTGTTGTTTAACTCTTTTAGATGAGCAGGGCTTCACACCAGACTGTGAAATAGATAAACTAATGCATCTAATGCAATCTGCTGAATTTACTTAATGGTACAGTACACAAAAAAGAAATGCTGATTTTAGTTTTAAATGAGTGCAGATGAGCTTGTTTATGAGGTTTACTGCATGAAGATAAAATAGGAGGGTTCTGTGCAAATAAAGACATGCTGTTTGTTGTATTCACAGTAATGATTATAAAGGCTGTCCACTATCATTTCAAACAGTCATCTCCTGTCCTTTCAAAGTGGAGAGGAGGGCAAGTGGAGAGGGGAGGACGGGGGTAAGGTGTCTCACACTTGAGGGGGGGGGGGGAGGCTGGTTTATCATGTTTAGTGGGGGAAGGGGCACAAACAGAGGGCTACTGGTCCCTGTTTAGACTCCATGGAATGTAATTGAGACTTCCACACACAAGCATCCACACAAAATATCAAAACACTCACAGAGAGCACAGATGCACAGTTCACATTTTTTCCATTCATCTGTTTATAAGCCATTAATAGGAAGCAAACTGTTAACCTTTTTTTGCATCAGTGTTGTAACCAGATTACCCATGATAAAACATTACTGTAACACCTCAAAAATAATTTCTTTTGTTTCAGTGACTATTAATTAATTAAAATACATAATGCTGCAAAACCTGTTATGAACTTCATGTGCATTTTAAAACCATTTATTTTCTGCTTCAGCACAATTTTGTCTTTAAATCAAGGTGTTTAATAACAAGTAAATAACAAAGATTATTCTCTAAACAAAAAAGGAAGGACGGAAGGAAGGAAGGAAGGAAGGAAGGAAGGAAGGAAGT